AAGGTGAACAGTGGCCCACACAGTCACTTGGGAAGCTGACTCGGCCAAGCAAGTCGGCTTCCGAAACGGACCCGGCATCCTGGGACCCAGCCCCAGATGAGCTTCGAGAAGGCATTGACTACATCAACAGGTTCGAGGTCTTGGGAAGCTCATTGTACATTGATCGCAATGGCCGGCTTCGAGGCGTTCAGCACCCATCTTAAGACATGCTACTGTGGCGGGCGTCTCGCCGCAGCACATACAGTCGATGCGGTAGTGTACACCTTCCGAGGTATTCAAAGCGTCCACGTCCAGACGATGCGGTGCACAAGCTATGCTTGTCGCAAAACCTTCGGACGCAACTTCGTCTAGGAGGATTCGTCCAAGTACAACACTGTTAACTCCGACACCATGGGGGCCGGATCCTCTTCGTCAACAACAAATGTGGGTTTGCTACGGACTACTTACACTACCACTCCCTCCTTCAGTTCCGCACCTTTGTAGCCACCAGAGCCGTCAAAGATGTGTACCAGGAGGTCTTCGGGATATCGCGCTCCGACAGATCAGTCAGTTCCGATTCACTCGTGCCACCGGGATCATGTACTGGATAGCCGTACATGAATTGGAACCATGCGGCAAGGAGCGAGACATCATCATTGGTAACAAGATCTCCGAGTCCAGCCTCCGCGCCTATGAGCACCATCTTCAGCGCACTTGCTTCCTTCATCCCCGCCCGTCTACGGTGCATGCGATCGTGGCCGATGGGGCATGCTAAGGTGCACGTGAAGTGCGACAACGTGCTCCGTCAGCCCAGAGCAGATAAACGAGTCAAGCCATACGGGCACGGCTGGTTCATCTTGGTGCATCCGAAGAATCTTCGGATCCTTTGGGCTCGGGCGATGGAGGCACCCGAGGGGAATGATATCCTGGAGACGGCGCTGCGGAAGATCGATGGCGTCGTCGTGGACTGTGCCTGTAGCTTCCTTCCCTGTGCCTGCCGCATCAAGGCCTTCAAGCAAGTGAAATACTGGAGTGTAGACCGTAGACCTGTTTCACGCGCATGGTCACACCAAAGACTGTCCGTGTAACCGTCTGTATCGCCGTAAGTTGAAGTCCCGATCTCAGTCGGTCAACACATCGGCCTGCGGACAGGTCTTTTCTTGGCTTCGGGGATATGCGAGAGTCTTGAACGAGGCTACGCCATCTCGCCACGCATTCAAGGTGCTGTATTTTTGCAAACTCCACACTCAGGCTGTGGATGCAAAGGATACCTCGTATCTCAACCCCTACAGTAGATCGTGCAAGAAAGGCAAAAAGCCTTACCACTGTGGATCCAAGAAGGGTGTCGCAAAGAATTCCGCCGCAAAGAAGGCGTTTCACAAGAAGGGCTCCGCAAAGAAGCCTGCCGCGAAGAAGGCGTTTCACAAGAAGGTCGCAAAGAAGCCATCAGCTTGCAAGAAACTGATCCTCAAGCGATGATGGAATGTTCGTGGGGCGAGCTGTCAAAAGATGCTGTCGTCACACCGTGTTCTGTCGTCGCTGCCTCATTATTACCTTGTCTTTGACAGCAGCCAAGGTATGCAAACTTCGTGCAGCTTGGAGATATTATCACTCAAACGTAGTAAAAAGGAGTAAAACCAAACCCAGACCCCACAGCCAACCGCTCTCAAACCCTAAACTCTACAATTCATACCCTAAACCCGGAACTCTATATCTCTTACCCTTAACCTTACATCTCCGTATTTTCTGAAACACCGCATTCCTGTCTCGGGATGCAGCTCGGGCCGCAGCCGTGCCGGATGTGCAGGGCTGATGCCGGGCTTCAAAGTTCCCAGATCTTCCAGGAGATCTTAACTTTAGGGTGAGGGTTTAGGGTTTACGGTTCCAGGAGACATTAACTTTAGGGTTTAGGGTTCAGGCTCCAGTGTTTAGGGTTCAGGGTTCAGGAGATAGAGTTCAGGGTTACGAGTTTAGGAGCCTTGACGACTAAGGGATTGGGGTTCTGGGTTTAGGGTTTGGAAGATCAGGGTTCTTGAGGGGAAGACCCGGCGGGGGGATCCCAAAAGAAGTAGGTTCAAACTGAATAGTTCAAGGGTTTAGGGTTTAGGGTTTAGGGTATTTTAGAGGGTTTTATAGGGTTGACAGGGGTTCTGGAATGACATGCAGTAGTGCCGTACACTAACAGTCACTAACCGTTCGTTCCTAAACTCCAAGCTCCCAAACCCTTGGAAAGTGGTGTCCCGTTGTAGTCCTTGTATGTCTCATCATGAAGGTGTCCCTCGATTACTAGCTCGAAGCAAAAACTCCGGCAGGGTTTATGGCGCTTTCAAGAACCAGATTGATAGTGCTTGTATCGTCACGTTTGTTAGTATAGGGGCCTGAAAAATCGCCGATGTTGTGTCCTCGGTTACCATTCTGTAATTGTGCCATCGTATCTGCCAAAACCGATTTTTTCTATGCATAGCATTTCTCTCTCTTGCGACTACCACCGTAGGCCGCTTGGGTCCCCGCCTGCTGACCCCTCAAGTACCGTTTCAAGGAGAGTTCCGCACAGTTGAAAGTCGTTCCAAAGCAGGGTCTGTGCAGGGCGTGCCGCGCAAGCCCCTGCATGTGTATGCCTCGAACATGAGAGCAGCAAGGTTGGTGCCAAGGTCCTCAGAAACCACATGGCCGGCCAAACCCTAAACCTAAACCTTAAACCGCCAACCCTGAATGCGAAAGCGTACAACATAAACCCGGGAGCGTAACACTCCTTCACCTCAGCCCCACGCACCTTAAGCCCAAAGCTTAGAACCCTTTTGTGGAGCAGTCGGAATGTTCAGTCACCATAATTTCTATCGGGAATTGAGGGCTTTGCGGTAGATGATGGTATACTAAACCCTAAACCATAATCCCTAAACCCTTAACCTTATGTATATATATATATATCTATACGTATATATATATACACATACATAAATATATAAAACATATTATATACATACTATATAATATATATATATTATAATATTATATATATTATAATATATATAGTATATATATATAATAGAATATGTATATAATATATATATAATATAATATATATAATATATTTTTGTATGTATATATATACGTATATACATATAATATAATATAATATAATATAATACAATATTATATGTAATATATATTTATATAACATATATAATATATTTTAATATATTATATATATATATCATAAGTATAATATAAATATAGTATATATATATATACAATATATATATATAGTATATACATATATATATATAGTATATACATATATATATATATCTTCCCGCGACCTCAACCAACAGTACAACATGCCTTGTCCTGTTGGGCTGCTTTCTTCCCTGCTTGACAGACCCAAACACCAAAGCCAAAGCAGGAGGAAAGGCAAAGTAACCCATATACTCCGGGGGTCATAGGAGGTCCAGGGTTCCGGACCGCACTGAGCTCAGCCAGGCTGGCAGCGGCTTCAATAAAGAGTCTGGGCCCTTTCTCGAACTGGCTCATGGCTGCGCGGATCGGACTTGCGCTGTGGTGGGAAAGGGAGACAGCAAGAGAGAGAGAGAGAGAGACATACAGTCGACATACAACTAAAATCTTTTTCGGGCATTGTCATTGTCCTGTGCTCACAGGTTGCTCTGCAAATCGACCTCAGCTTCGCTGACAATCGCAGCACTGTCAAAGCTGACGAAGGCCCATCCATGTTTTGTCGGTGCAGGGCTACTATTTGGTATGAACAGGCAAAGCACAAGCAAACACATGCCACAGTGCAGGAGCCTTGGCCTTGGAATTACCTCCTATCACCATGGCAAGCACCAGCAAATCCTTCATCGGATCAACCTTTTCCCTGTGCCGCTACCTGCTCGACTTAGCACACCTCGGATGCTCGGAGCCCAGCGCATCCGAAGTTCTCGCAGCTCAGCGCTGCGAACTGGGCCGGCTGCCGTGTCAATGTGAATCGGGGCAGACATGCAGTTTGGGCAGGAAGCTGAATTGTTGCTTATGGCTTGTACCATAACTTGGGAGCTGTGCTGGCGGATCGGACATGAAAGGGGTGACTGAAGGAAGCATCACATGCCGGATCGGCGTGGGCACGCAGTCCTCAGTTCAGATGTAGCAGATGGTGTCGGAGTCTGGGAGGGGGGAATACATTCATTGCGGAGCAATTTCAACGGCACCACACAGGCCTAAGGTCTCATAAGCTTTGCTCGGTTGCTTGCAAGGCTCCCAGCAGAGTCGCTCTGCTCCTTGATGGGAGACCTCACTTTCGAGGGAGGCTGGCTTCAACGGGGAGAAGGACGGGACGATGTGTCTCGAAGAAGCAGGAGACATCGTGAGGCGAAAGGGGGAAGGTAGGCAAGGAACAACAAGACAAACAAATAACCAGCACCAAAGCCACGCCGAAACCCCAAGCCTCCGCGTGCTGCGCCAGTCGACCGATATTGGTTTGAGTACTGATTTGCAAAATGCACCGGCCCGAGGCATGCCAACTGTTAGCGCGGGAATAATACAAACCGGTCAGCGATTGAGGTGCTTTTGGCACCCCCGGGTCTGACGGACGCGACCACCACCAGAGCCACTGCTGTTGCCGTGTCGTCTCGGGCTGACCTTGAACTTGAAGCGTCGGGACACGAGTGGAGGATGAACAACATTTTGTGCTGTTGCCTTCGGCGAAGACTCGACATAGCCGACCAGGTCTGCAGATCCCTCACCTCCAGCACTGCCTTGGCAATTCAACGTCTTGCCAGTTTGGAGGGCGGGAGCCCCGGGCCCGCGGTGAGCCAGACCCGAGAGACTCTGGGGCCGGGGGATGGCGGCTTCGGCCCGGCACAGAGGGTTAAAATCATAAAACAAGCTCGTCGCGGCAGTGGTCGCATGTTGCATCTGTGAGCAGATGTACAACATGTTGCCGTTGTGAAAAACGAAAACAGACTGACACAGAGCAGTACGGAGCATAGCACAAAATAGGCCCTGCAAGGGTGCAAACTGAAAGTTCTTCAACGAAGGTCCACGCACTCTCCGGTGACGATGTCAGGCTTGGGCTTGGTAAGCCACATGTAGGCACCAGCTCCCAGAAGCAACGCAACCTGAGCCAACGGAGTGTCGCGCCAAGCTCCAGGGCGCTGGCATGGGTGTCTGTGATCTCTGCTCTCACGGAAGTCTGGGTGTATGGAGTAGTAGCACACCAGTAGCTAGGAAGCGAGTGCGTAAAGCACTTTGTGCTAAGACGGCTTCGGCAGCAACCCCCACCAAGGGCACAGATTCACCTGCCGAGTCTTGGTGGCAGGATAAGAAACCAACAGAACTGTCCGTGAGAGCCCCCTTCCCGGCAGCTCCTGCTGGTTGCGGCTCTCCACTCACTCGCCGCCAGAGTTCCTCACCGGACCGACAACCCCCGTATGCAAGGAATTCGCGGGGCCCTCTCTCGACCAGGCTTTGAATTTGCGCTTCTGCTCCGGTGTAAGCTTCGCAGTGTCCACGCTGGAAAGCTTGTCCTGCCAAGCAGGATGAAGTCGTCTAGATGCTGTTCAACATCGACAGCCTGGCCTTCATGTCCTCTCGCCACTTCTGGGACATTGGAAGATCGGCACGATCCGAGTAGCTTGTCCTATGCTTCGCAACTTACTCTCGGCATGTGCCTGCTGCTAGGAGTGCCTGAGATTCCTGAGGTACCCACCAATCCATTTCCATGCCAGCAACTATGGTCAGCAAACAAGCGCAAAGCGCCTGGGGCTAGTCTCGGCGCGATTTGGGAAACAAGGAGAACAAATCAATGGGTCAAATTGACGGTCTGACCATGATGCCAAGGCGAGCACAACTGTGGACAATGCGGGGGTGGCCATGTGCGCCATTTTAGCGGGGCGTCGATTAGCGGATGCAGCGGTGCAGCTGCAAGTGGGATCAAGCAGGTGCTGTGAACGTCTAAGTATATGAGCATGTGGAAGAGCTTCGGTCGACATGAAACGACTGAGGACTGACGCAGGCATGGGGTGTTTCTGGGGCTTGAAGGAGCTGTTGGACGTAACTTGAAAGCGGATCGCTATGCATACACATGACATGCCAGGGATCTGGCATGCTAGACAGGGGATCTCGGCAGACTCACAGTCATCCAAAAATTCCATACTCCACTAAGTCTAGTCCTGAGTCGGATACTCGTGGGAGGCTGTTCCCATGGTGGTCATATGCGGGAGCTACCAAAGAAATGGTGGTGAAGCTGGGCAGCTCGTGTTTTCCTGCCGTCGCTCCCTGCTTGTGAGACTCAGCTTGCCCTCAAGGATGGCCAGCGCGATGGCGAGGCGCTGAAGGGATCACACAAGAAGTCTTCCACGAAGCAGTGTCGAAGCATTTCGGAGCTATTACAGGTAGGACGTCTTCAATGTTTCGATGTCGTCACTGGCCTTCTCCTCGATGCCTGACAGGAAGGTGTCAAGTCCTGAAATGCGAACGGCTCAAGCTATGTCGATCAGCTCGTGGCATCTGATAGCCAAGGCTAAGGACGGCGCCAATTGGAAGGTCCATGACGAGACACTCAGCATAAACAAGCATGAAAATGCCGCAGTCCGACGAATTTTTTTGTTGCCTTGGCAGTGGACAGCGCTACTTGTTTATCTGAGACTTCGCGACGGAGCCCCCAAGAAGAGGTATAAGCTCACTGCGGCAGACGGTTGTCCACTTGCAGATCTAGGCGACCTGCAGCTTTGGTTGGTAATTGGTGGCTGAACCATGCACCGGCAAGGGCCCAGTGTTGGCCCTTCTGTTGCCCTTCAAAGTGCCAGGACAGTTTTGATGCGACACGAACGAGTTCATGAAGCTTCAGTCTTCGCAGGTGCACCATGGCCCTACATCTAAGTAAGTGTAATTACCGAGTCAAACAGGCCCGGATGTCCAGGAAAAGACGTGACCTCGGCCGCCATGAATTCGGTGAGCCTGCGAGCACTGCGCAACTTCTCTTGGAGCGGACAACCTCTGCAGCAAATAGAAACGGAGTAGACTGAGTAGACACAAGCAATGCACATGCATGCGCTTGCCTCTGGCCCAAGAGCTTTGGGACCGGCAGGCTCAGCGAATCAAAGTAAGAAATGGTACGCCTCGCAAAACTCCGACTTGACGAATTTACGGGTGGTGGCCAAACAGCCTTCACCCAATGCCAAACATGTTAATCATTCTTGAACAAGGCAACCAGTAGACTGTTTGTCCAGTTGACGGAGCCCAATCAAAGATGTCTCACAGCAGCACACAGCCTGGGGATGTGAACCATGGCGAGCCTCGGATGGCGCGATTTCATTGCAATTCGGTGGCACTTTGACTCTGAGTTCTGCGCGACCAGTGGCAGCCTTCCAAGTGCAACGGCACAAGGATGGCTCGCAACTCCGCGACATTGACTGCAGCACGCCTGGCGACAAATGATCCACGCAGGCAAATTTTGTCGTGTCTCGGCTCGGAACATTCTCGTATCTTTGCACGGTCCATATGATCTTCGTTGTCACCAGGCACCGACACATGCTCGCGATCCGGAGTGAAGTTGCGGGTGTCCACCGGCAATTCCTGTAGTGAAACATCCGGAAGTTGAACAGCCACTGGACGATCCAATGCCGCTTCAATCCTGCTTTTGTTCTATCTGCTCACCACCATCTTCATCGCTGAATTACTGCTATGGCTGACTGTCCGGATCATGTTGTCCGTTGTATCGTAGCCGGTTGTCATCGTTACTTTCTGCATCTATCGTCCAGGTCCTCCGCCGCTTTTCATCTGCTGTCAAGTTCAGCCTTCGGCTGCAGCATTCGCTCATGCCTCCCCTGCCCGACTTTGCCAGCCAGGGCTACAAGAAGCAAGCTCGCATGTCTCCTTTGGGGACATGCAAGCCGTGCCCGGGTCCTTCGAGAAATTCGAGACCTGAATGTGATTCTGCTACAGGACCGGGCACTGATGCGCAGCCTGGTGTGGGCTCGCAGGCGGCCGCGGGGCTTGGAGCTCCAAGAATTTCCCATGACGACTTGGCAGTTATTTTGAAGACCTCGCACTGCAAGTGTTCAAAGCTTCTCCGCCTTCTGAGGCAGCACTCCAATCGTCGCTGCCGGTGCAGCCGCTCACCGCATGCGTATTTCTCAATCCTAGGCCCGTCCTAGGCAAGCTCTGGAGCGTACCCCCACAGTTTCTTGTCAAGTCCACTGACACGTGCCTCGTTGAATCGGCATCACTTGACACGTGTCTTCCTCAGAGCCAGTTGTGCTGTGTCGTCGCTGGCGCTTTTGCAATCCGCGTCCAATTGTCATCTGTAAACTGAGCAACCTGTCCCCAATCCCAGTCTTACACCTTTCCCCCTCCAGCGCCACCCATGATCTTCTCCCCAATTCTTGCTGTCCTGCACAGGAGGACAGTTGTATACAGTTGTTATGAATTGATATGAGGAGCCATGAACCGACGGCCTCTCTGAGGGGTGCGGGATGGTGCGGGTAACACGATCCCGGCCGCGGGACAGATAGCGAGCCATCGCTTCACTGACACCAGCCCCTGGTTGTTTCGTGTCTCTTGGTTTCCAACTCCTCAAACCCAACCCAACCCTCATACCAACCCTACTGCAAGCAAGTCGAGCACAGCTCTGAGCAACAAGAGCTTTACAACGGCACGTTGCAGAGACCCAGGCGTCCTTGTGGGCATCATGATTCAAGGGCAACGAAGTGTCACAAAAGGGACATTTGCCAAGAGCTAACGAGCGACAACACCTGCAGCAACCATGGCAGAACACGGGAAAGCGTGCGGTAGTGAATCATTCGCCCCCTGTTCCCTCTCCAAACCCCCATGTGCAGCTTGATACGTAGTCTCTGCTTCATGTCGGCACATGCGGAACGTCAGCCATACAGGACAGCGTCCCAAGTTCCCAAGGAAGCGCTATTCAAAATGCCTGTCATGCACACCGCGAACTCTTGGAGAAGGAGTCGGAGGGAAGAAAATCGAAGGGCTCGAAACATCAAGAACATTTAGAATCTAAATAATTCCAGGCAGACCACCGCCCCCGTGCAGACTCCAGGATGTTGCTCCTCGCGGCCGGCCGCTTTGGGCTTGTGTGTGCAGGAGCAAGAAAATTTGATGCTAGGGCTCAAGTCTGCATTTACCATGGGACGGAATATATCCAAGCATGTCTCGGAGAAGCCCTTTTAGCCGCTTGAGAACGGGGCCAAAGTATCTGTGTCAGATGTCTGTTGCCGTGTTGAGGGCAGTGAGGCTCAGAGAGTCGAAGCTATCATCGGACAGCCGAGGGCTTCTGTCTGTGACCTTGCTTGAAACAGCAAGGCATGTGCCTGAGAGTCGTGCCGCAGGCTGCTGAAGGATGCTCTCACAGCACGTCCAAAACCGAAGGGTGTTCTTGCCCGCGGACTGGCCATGAAAGCAACGTATGAGCTGCAACGGTTTCATCACCTTGTGGGGATGGCCTAAGCCCCGGTGGCGGGGTGCACCTTTCAGAACGGGCCGAGTTAGGTCAAGATTGTGCTTCCGCAACAGGCTTCACCCTTAACGATGGAGCAGAATATAGGAGCTCCGAAAAGGACAGATGACACAAGCATAAGCATTTTACAGTGATATCCCTGCCTGATTGGGCTTCTTTAGACTGGGCTTTATATGGTATGTCCCAATCTTGATCGGTATTGCATTCTTTTGATAGCATTCTTTCGGCCTTGTCGCGCAAGGGTTTCTCGCAAAAACCAAATCCTGCGACACACTTTGTCGCGCAGGGCTTCGCCTGAATATCGGAAAACACTCGTCACAAGGAGCAGCACAGTCCGCATGTCCCTTTCGCAAGAACCCACTGAAGCTCTGGAATGGGTGCGGATTTTGGGCTGACTGCTGTGGCTCCACTCACTGTCCGCTTGCAATAATTGCGTCTCATGTACCATTCACACGTGCATTCGCAGTGTGAGAGTCCACTGGAACAGTTTTGCCGGGCGGACTCGTCGTGAAAGCCATGCATCGGGTAAAACGGCCTCAGCATATTCTCGGAAAGACATTCCACGCAACAGCAATGCACAGTAATGCGTTCAGAGATCAGACCAGTGTGCACGCCTGGTGCGAAACTGATGCAAGCGGCGCTGCGGCTCCACTGACTGTCCGACTGCAGCGGTTGCCGCCTGCACCCCAGCGCATGGAAGCTAGAATGCACGAGAAGGAAGTTTGTCTTGTCACATCCAGACCGGACAGGAAATATCTGCAAGGGGACAACCTTTTCAATCGAACTTTTAGAAACCTGTGCAGCCAGCCCGCGTGGCGACTCGGAAAAGCTCGTGCGCCGACCGGCTGGCAAAGCTGCCGGCCCGTTGAATTGCAGGACATTTGGTGAAGACATGAATGGGAGACTCTGTCTGCATCCAATTCACCGCCGCCTCATTGTCAAATACCATGCTGGCTGCTGTTGAAAAGGCATCGGTATCAGGACACACACCGTAGCCAGGCGGCATTCCGGAATCAAGGCCTCTCCATGCATGTGCCTGCTCGGCTTGAAGGCCTTGCCGTAGAGCAAAGCAGGACACCTTCGACTGCGCATGATCTTCTATGGCTGAGGCCGCTTGGGAGTCCTTGGCGCCTTGGGATTTTCCTGCACCTGAGCCAATTTCATCGGCATTCACCAATAACCGAGATTGAAAAAAACTAAGACTTCAGGGGTCAACGAATTGTAACAAATCTGAACGCTCGAGTCCTGTCGCTGCTGGATGAGGCCACGCGCATGGAGAAGCGACTCTGCCTCCAGCTGTTCGATGGGTTTGTAAGAGCTTAGGACGACGAATTTGTGGTGCTGAAATGCTCCTCCAGAACTCAATCTCGAAGCAAAGCCCCTAAACTGCCCTAAGCGATCTCGGACGAGGTCAAGTGGTCTCGTCCTTGCGAAGCAACAATGGGCCAATGGACAAGCTCCTTTGTCCGCTGCCTCGCGACTCCAACAGCCGCCTCCTTCTGCATACCCGACCGGCTTCGATCCTTGTCCTTTTGTTATTTATAGCGAGGTGGTGTCACCACCATCAGAGGGTCTGCCAGTTTCAATGAAAGCAGTTTTGGTTGCAGCATCTCTACCTGGCTGCCATGAGTTCGGTGGATTATCGATTACCCTCATGCCAACCTGCCGTCTCAACCTGCAACCTCTTTCGCTCTCTTCCTTCCTTCCTTCTTTCCTTCCGGTCCGGTCCAGCTCAGAAGACAACTTTATACCCGCGCTCCATGCAACAGGCCCGATGCCTCCTCCACTGCCAAACACTCTTGGTTCTGCGACTATGCGGCAGCTTCTCTCAGGAACTCAGAGTTCAACGCTAAGACCGAGCCGCGCCTCGGGCAGCTGTTTTCCGACCTTTTTGCCTCCCGGCGCAGAGCAACAAAACTGGGCGGGTCTTCAGACATCATGATAGTGGGGAGCATCGAGCCGGCGCACTTGAGACTCAGCGACGGCAATGCTCCCGTGCCTGTGGAAGTCTCCACACAACGACATTCTGCTCTAAGTTGCTTCGAGGCGCATGGATCTTCGAGCTTCGCCCAGTCTAGTGTTCTACGATCCTGCACCGACGACTTCACGGTGCTTGCCAGCGGGGTTGCCCCCTGCAGCACCCCACTGCAAACGCACATGGGCTCACTGCTACGAGTGCAAGCACCAAAATGTCAAAGACGAGGGGACACGCCCTGCCCACTCAACAAATCGAGAAGTGCGTTCACGAAGTCCATAGATGGATCACCAGTTAGCAGCACATCAAAATGTTGCGAATATTCTGCTAGCACTGCCTTGGACGGTTCGTGGAGGAATGCCACTTTAAGAACTACAATTTCGGGTGGCAAGCCACGCAGTGGTGCACAATCCGAAGGCTTGTCGCCAAGCAGAAGGGCATGGGTTTTCCCAGCCGCCAGGCCTGAAAAATCGGGAATCTTTGTCAGTGCATCGGCCTTATCGCGTGAAGTGATGCTCACGTCCTCATCCAGGCTGTTGGCCACCAGGCGGGCAGTAGAAGGCAGCTCAGCCGTAGAGGTTCGAAGGATCGGCACCAGCAATTCACGAATTCCAGCCGAAATCAGAAACAGTGGTACATTCCACTTCTTGATCCAGTCAAACGTTGCACTGAGATTCTGCCGCGTGCGCACGTTGCTCTTCAACAGGCACTGCGATGCAAACTGTGACAGCTGGTGTTGTGAAGATACATCGTGGAAGGACTTGAACCAACTCCTCGTCGCGGCTGCCCTTTGCTCTGGATCTTGGTTGCACTTTTCCATGCGCTGGGCTTCCGTCAGCCTGTCCCAAGCATTAAGATCTCGAAAGATTGCTCCTACCTCTGGCAGGAGGGTCGTGTCGAGATGCTGCATCACGATCTGATGGCATTGATCACCTTGAGTTTTCAGGTGGCTCAATGGACGAACCTAACACAACCCGACCAGCAGAATGACACTGCGGACAAGCTGCCTGGCTGACCGTCGCAGCCAACATAGCGCGTCAGCGTCTGGTCGAAATCCGAGATGATCATCAGCTTCTGATACCCCGCTTGACAGAAGTCCTCTGCCAAGCGGTCGAAGTTGGCTCCGAAGAAGGATGTCGCCGGAGCCACATGGCGAAGAGCGGCGGCCGAAGTCATACTGCGGCTTTGCCACTGCTTTGCCTATCCCCGGAAAACTTCCTGCTGCTTCCGTGTAACAAATCCCGATCTACCCATACGATATGCACGGCTGGCAGTTCCTTGCCTGTGGCGGTTTGACCTTTGTTTGTGTATGTACAGTACAGGTCAGACAAATCGTCGAAGGTAACTAGTGCGAATTGTAGCAATTTGTGCAAGACCTGGCATTCGCCCGGGATCGCCGAACCCAACAACTGTTCTGCAAGGCTGCACCAGCAGAGGTTGCGATTGAGTCCATGAACTGGGCCTTTTGGGACCCAAACAGAGGCTAAGCAGCTTGAGATATTTGTTGGTGACATCCCGCTCTCGCCTCTGCTCCCCTCATGCAGGCCTCTCGCCAAGATGTGGCTAGATGCACCTTGGCATTGGCCGCGGCTCAGTCAGTCTCTTCAATGTCAGCGTCCACAGCTTCAGTACTTGCTTACTGGCACGAACGGGATAATCATAATGACAGCATTGAGAGGAGGCAAAGCAGGAGTATTGAGGGTCTCGATGGCGGAGTTCTCCAAACGGCTCCGTGGCACCCAGGGCCACGGCGGGCTGATGGAGCCGCTGAAAGTTTTGGGATTTAGGGTTGAGGCAGACACCAGAGCGTGCCGCGGCCCTGGGTGTCATGGACCCGTTTGGAGACCGAGTTTGCAATTGTTGAGCACATCGCGTGTAGTCGTGATTCGTTGATCCTGGCCTGCTCTTGTTGCAGGCAAGACATATTTCAGGCAACTTCGCATCCACTGCAGACTAAGTCTGAATCTTAGCCGGGATGTGGTAGTTTTTTGACAAATTAAGGGGGTGAGAGCGATTAGAGAGGGAGGGAGAGAGAGAGAGAGAGAGAGAGAGAGAAGTTGCAAGTAAGCGTTTTCCGGAACAATAGCTACTTGCGACCACCATTGCCCACTGTCTGCCCAAGTCCCTTGAGCCTCTTCGTGTAAGCTCGAAAGACATCGAAGAGGACTTGACCACACACCCGCTCAAACCCACCAGGTCCAAAGCGCCACCCAAAGACATAATGTACTGAGGAGCATGCACGGGCAGCGAATACTGTGCATAAGGCAGAGGTCCAAGAACACTGGTGGGTCTAGAATCTGCTGCTAAACACTGGCGCCCTTAACTCCAAATGATGACCACCTGACCCATGGACCAGCCGAAGAATGTACCGAGCATTCCGGCCGACCCCTCGCAACACCCGGAAATGTACTACGAACGCTCCGGGACCCCCTGTAACGCCCCCTCGCAAGCACATTAGCTTAGGGAGGGGTGCTCTTTCAGTCCGCACATATGGTTCAAAGTTGAATCTAGAAGCCTGAGTGGAGAGGCACGATGATTTCCTCTTAAGCCGCATGTAGCTCGGCTTGGGATGTGGAGCTAACGCCAGTTTTGTGAACATGCGTTGCCCATATTCTGAAACCTTCTGCCAAGCGTCCGAATTATTTGACTGAGGGCCGACCCAGTTGTTACTGTAAAATGGTTGGCAACTGATCACAAGCCCATCCAGCCCATCCAGCCTTCATCAGCTTGGGCTAACCGGCTTCAGCCGCATGCAGAAGCAGCAGCTGTAGAGTCAGCATGGATTGCCACATCGCTCCCCAATTTCGCAACATGGCTCGAGCCCGTCAACAACAAATAATTCAGTTGAAGTCTCCCGCTTGCCGTGCGACCGCTCATGTTACAGGCACACCGGACTGCCAACACAGCCTCGCGTCATCTCGTGTCTTGTGCTCGCACACCGCGAGCCTGGTCCAACGCTGAACTGCGGCGTGACCGCCAGCCTCTGCCAAGGCTCTAAGCTATGGGTTGCATAATGAAGCACTGCAACATGCAGCGACATGAAACTGCAATGACATGCGAGGCCCGTCCAAAGCTCTGCCGGACACTTTGGTCTTGCTACCGAACCTTGCCCTCAGCTCCTCTCGACTGCAAAGAGACAGCGGAAGGAATGAGCGTGCACGGAGGCCTGTGTGTGACCAGCCCCAATCACTCAGCCACCCAGCCGTGGACGCCAGCCCGTCGTTCAGCCACTCCACCGTAAAGCCTAGCCCCAGTCAGTCAGCCACTCAGCGGTGGACGCCAGCCCCAGTCACTCAGCTGTAGACGCCAGTCCCGGTCACTCTGCCACTCAGCCGTAGACGCCAGCCCCAGTCACTGGTTGAGTGTCTGACTGTCTGAACGGCTGAATGTGGATGTCTGAGTGGCTGTGTCTGAAAGGCTGAGAATGTGGATATCTGAACGGCTAAATGTCTTGATTGCCAAGTGGCTGCATGTTTGATGGGCTAAACGACTGCGTGTGGGCGGGCTGAATGTCTGAGTGTCTGACTGTTCGAGACTCCTAGCGGCTTTGTGTTTGAGTGTCAAAGTGGTCGTTTGTTTGAATGTTTGCGCGTGGGAGTGGCTGTGTGAGTGTTTCAATGTCTGATAGTGTCTGAATGTCTGCGTGTCTGGGTGTCGTAGTGTCTGAGTGACTGAGCGTCTGAGTATCAGAGGGGCTGCAGGTTGATGCCTGGGCGACTGAATGTCTGAGTGGTCAACTGCCTGCATGTCTGATTGGATAAACGTCTGCGTGAGGGCGTAGCTAAATGTTTAAGTGTCTGACTGTTGGAGACTTTAAGCAGCTGTCTTTTTGAATGTCAGAAGTACAACAAGTGCACGTAAGACAAGGACATGCGCACAAAGTTGGAGTCCTTTTTCCTTGAACCAAGTGTTGTTCGATCATCTGCGTCAGAGCTCCTAACAACTACATTGTCATGATCTACATAACTGGACCTTTTGCGTCGAGTTCTGTTAACCCCCCTCTTTGGGACTCTGAACAGCGAGATTTAAAGTTTGCACTAGTGCGGGAAGGTTGACTCATGTTGAATCCTAGCTGAAGCAGTGTTGCGCGATCAGGCGCTCATGATGTCAAATCAAACATGCCGCGACAACAAACCGGGCATTCCTCTTGACGTGGCTGTGCAATGGCGTACACGAGGATTTAAGAGAGCAGGACTGCACTGCATGTTTCCCCACAACGTGTCGTCAAGTGAGCAGTGCGACGTTCCATCTTCGTCCTCGACCCGTCAGATGGGTCCCTGCACTGGACTGAGCGATACGAGAAGGTTCTTCGACCCTTCTGCATTGACCACACTGTGTTGCAAGACCAAGCTCGAAAACTTGTGTGATGGCATGTAATGCCGGACAAACCGATGGCTGCGGTAGCACACTTGTAATCACTTGTAGGTGCGAGACCTTCGATTCTTTGGATGCCGAAGAAATCCCCTAAGACGAATGCACCCGCTGAGAAGACATGCGCGGGACTTTCTTGTACCGCCCTCTTGTCTGGACCGTGAGGAAACAATGTCAAGAGTTGCACAATATGTTGCTTTTTTGGGACCTTCGAGCGGCTTGCGAAATTGTCTCAGTTGGACTGGCAACGATTGCATGTACGTGCGAACCATCGTAGACGCTGTCATGCCGAATTGCATCATGGTGTGTGGCCGCTCAGCTGGCGGGATGATCTTTGTCAGACCACCTGCTGTTTGAAGCTCGCTTCGGCAGTATTCGGCAGTGACATGTGGATCCTGCAGCTGGTCAGACATTGAGGCAATGTTTACCCGGTGAACCCTGCTTTTTTCCCACCCGGTGAACCCTGCTGACATGACGGAGTTTTCCTGAATAGCCCACTGCCAAGACCTTTAGAAGTGTCTAGTTGTTTTGGTGAAACACGACATGAACGGTTTGGCCTACCAACTGTTGCAACATCGTTTGTGCATTCAGGGCTTCCCCGAACACAGCCGATGCCATGGCTATCGATTCAGCCTCTGGCGTGCTTCTAGCTACACTAGTCTGTTCCTTCCACGAGTGGACAGCCAAACTATGTTGAGCTTCTACTGTGAACACGATGCCGCTCGTGGACTTCGCGCTGTGCGGACATGATGCAAAATCACTGTCAGTATAGATGTGCAGTTGGAGTGTCTAGTGATGGCAGACAGATGCTGCAAGGCAGGTTTCAGATGACCCATGGGGATAGGAAATCATCCGGAGCAGTTGCTTGTCTCCCCAGTGTGTCCAGGACGCAACTCTGCATGCCAGACGTCCGATGATGAAGCAAAGATCGGGACGCGCGAGGCATCCGAGCCATGATGCTTTCATCAGACCTTTGCAGCAACTGTTGCATCACTCAATACACCTTCTTGTTGCACATCCTCATCCGACATCAGCGCCTCTGAGCGACACGACATCGCAACTTTCTTCAGACGTTCCTTCGGGAGGCCCGCTAGCTCACAATCTACGACTCAAAGACCTGCTGGGCAAAAGAAATATCAAGGACTAAGGTCGTGAAGTCCACACCTTTGTTGATCCTGTGACCTCGGCCTAGATTCGGGCATTTGTGTCTTCAAGGAAGACCTCAGGCTCAAGCTTGATGTGGACTCTCAGCCTTCTCCCAAACTCGTTGTGAAGATGCGTCGCTCCGGAAATGATCATCGACGTAGATGTTCAGCATGAGGGTATGCGTGCCTACCTGAAACAGGAAGTTGAGCAAGAACAAATCTAGTTCGATGCCACCTAAGGAAGCCTGGACGGAAAAGAGAAAATTTTGCCAGAGTTTGCCAGCTATTGGGTGGCCGTAAAACGACTTTTTCAATCGCACAACGACTTTGGATCCTGATACGAACCGCTGCTCACGGCTCTTCGGGCAAGATTGCCCATGTGTTGGGTTCGCCTGCCTTGACCCAAATTGGCCTTCAGGCAAGCTTGAAACGCATCTGATAGGCTAACTGCGTTTCCGTCTCTACAATCGAAATATCACGCAAGTTCAGTGCAATCAGCGACGCCGGACTTGTCGCTGTTTCCTCGAATAACATGTGATTGCCATGGGCACAGAATATGTTATCACCGCGATAGCAAGTTCTTCATGTTTTCCATTGTTCTTGCGGCATCTCGTAGAATTTAGTTCCACATAAACGTTTCGAGCTCGGCAATCTTAACTT